CTGCCCTGGGCTGCTCCTGGCACCTGAGTTAGCTTGGGTGAAAAGTGACTTTGATAAATGGTAGAGGAAAGGTTTTCCCCTGCACGATGGTTGGGTTGAATGAAGAATAATAATAATAATAATAATAATAAGCAAGGAGAAGGCACTAGTACTTTTCACTTTGTGAGACTAGCGTGTTATTTGAATACCTATTGATCTGGTACTGGTGAGGCGTTACAGCTGTGATGGGAGAGAAGAAGTCTGGGTACATGCAGCCTTGCAAGCAGGCATGCAGATTTCAAAGAGTGGCAAAAAGCAGCGTAGAGCATAGGTAGTAATTAGGACCAAGAAGAAAGAGGCTTTGGCTTTTCTCCTCAAAAGGAAGCACTGTTGTATTTGAGACCGAGGGCTGGGGACGGGTGTTTGGGAGCAGGCTCCGCTCCTACAGCCCTTGAACAGACCTAGAAACAAGTTACTGGGGTTTTGTTGGGGTGGGTGGGTGCGGGTTGAAACGCGGCGCTGGAGAGCGCGGCTGTGATAACGCAAAGTTATAGGCCAACAAAGCAAGGCTGAATAAGAGGTCACGAAGCTTTTATTTTGTGAAGTCAAATCTACAGGAGATTCAGTGGCAGTTCCCCGTTCCCTGTCCCAAGGTGGCCAGCCTCTCGAAGGCTCCTCCACCCCTGCCAAGCCTTTATTCAACTTCGTGTCCCAGGGGGTCAGTTGCTGCACCGTGAAATTTTGGTCTTCTCTCCACGCAGGTGCTTTGGACTCGAGACACATAGGGACACTGGAGTGCGTGCATCCGTGCACGCTGTTGCTTTTAGAAATGAAAACTGCTGAGAGCTGTTGGGCCAAGACGTCGGCATTTCAGCTGCTTGCATCACCCTTCGTTGCAGTCCAGGACTAACCACAAAGTGGTCTGTGGTTGTTGGGAGCCAAGTTTGGGCTTCTCCTTGCTGCCTGTTATCGCTGTAACTTGGCAAAGGTTTTTGGCTTTTGGTTACGTCTGTGACTTCTCTTCTCAAAATTTCTTGGCTCTTTCAGCTCATCTGTTTCTTGTTCACTCTTTGGTACAGCTTCGCTGCTGGTGGCTGCCGTAAGATCCCGGCTAGGCACGACTAGCCAGCACTCGGTCTGAGGGACCTGTGCGCGCGAGGGCGCAGCCACCCACTTCC